CAGCTATTTAAATAAGCTGTTTGGGACCCTACATTTAACTTTCAGCGAGCTTCAAAGTGTAAGGGGAGTTATCGGTCGGCTTTATCCGCTGATGAAAAGTGAAAGGGAGAAAGGGGGGTCAACGATACGTTAACTGTCATAACTGTTGGCTGAGTTGTGCGTAGGGTACCGCTGCCCTCGCTGTCTCTCTCCCTCTGGTGGTTAGGAATCACAGGCGTCGAAGTTGATTGATAGACTACCATCAAGGGGTTCAAAAAATCGAAACATTGTTTTCCCGGAAGAAATGTGACCAAGGCAAAGACCACTAGACTAGGAGGATTTAATGACGTAATGCAATATCTTGACCCCTTATTTAACTGCAAACAGTCATTTCCTATTAATAACAGTAAATAAACTGTACAACTAAGTATCGACCGAGAAGGCTGAAACTTGATGGGTTAATAGGGTAGGAGCTAATAGTCTTATATTTCAGTATATGAGGGGGGGAAGAGGAGGGGGCGTAGTTATCGAAGCAAGGCGTTTTATGTTTTAGTGAAAGCCTCTCAAACGTGATTTAGAAGGGAGGCAAAGGACAGGGCAGCAGTCAGTCCTAGAGGGGGGAAGGAAGCGTGAGAGAAAATTGGGTTATCTATCGTTACCACGGTAATGCGAGGTTGATAACGTGATCCAGCTGCTTCATAGGCAATTGCCGTTTGCATTTGAATAAGAGGTCACGAAATTGCACGCCATTATATCTTGATAGTCTCGTGGCCTTTGCCTTATTAAAATTTCTTCCGGAAAAAACAATGCTTCAATATTCTGTGAAAACAAATCGTGCCCCCTAACCCAACCACGTGGTAGGTGCGCTGAACCAAGATGGATTGGAATGCAGATAAGGGTAGTAGGCAATGGTCGTTTACAGTTAAATAGAAAATCACGAAATTGCAGGACGTCATTAAATCCTGCTAGTCTCGTGGTCTGTACCTTGTTAAATGTTCTTCCGAGAAAACAGTGCTTTAACTTTTATCTCTATAATCGCGTTTTCTAACTTTGGTACCCCGTAGTCTATGCATACTTTACTGGGAGGTATTTTTGCTCAAAAATACTTCGGCCTTCGACGGCATGTACATTGGTTTCAGAGAGTGCGCACCAGTTTTTCGGATGAATAACACCTTTAACGAAAATATTCTCCGAAGATCACTACCTAAATACATTCCTTCAAAAACGGAAAAATGGAGGTAGCAGCATAAAAAGGAGTGGGTGTGAGGTCTTCATTTAAATTGTCTGACGCGTCAAAATATTTGCCATAAGTGACACGACTGATTGGTTCAAAAAAAGATGAACGACAGGAAATTAAATGAATATCATATGGGGTAAAACAGTGTGACGTCAAAGTTCTTATTGTAAAAAAGAAGATGAGTCACATATTGGAGAATACCCTTAGCAAAGAGTTAATCGTTTTAGAGCGTGGGCGTAATATTGCGTCAATCACAAGAGACGATGAAACGACAACAGTCGAAGAGAGTAAGATGAGCCTCGACGTGCGCAGACCACTGTTAAATTTCCGTCGAAAATTACCTGCGAGCAATAAGGTTTGAGAGGCAGATGACTGCATAGAAATCGTCAAATCAAAACATGATGATACGTGCAGACGTCAGCGTCCAAAATAATAAACAAGTTAGCGCATCCCCTTGAAAATGTTTTGAGGATGGTGGAACCAGGCGGGATTCTATTTTGCGGGGTAGCGCGATAACAGGACTTCCTTAGGGTCAATTCCAAAAAATGTACTACCGAGAGATGACCGCAGAACTCCTTGTCTAACGACTCAGTTGAGAAGTCAACCAAACAAAAATACTGAAAGCGGACATCGACATTATCATGGTAGGCGGTCAACAAGAAGGTAATAAGCATATTTTAGCATATGATGGAGATCCAAAGCCGACAATATGAAGCGAAAGGGTGTGAGGTTATGTGGCAGTATATTAAACCTCTATGTTAATAAGTAGAAAAGGAGAAGCAGGATGGCCTGCAAGTTTAGGAACAATCCAGTCGTGTGAGGAAGGAGCAGTATTGAAAACCGAAAATAACTCAAATGTATGGCATGGCTGTCATTGTTTTACCGATCTATAAATAGTGCGCAGGAGGCAGAGTTTTCCTTCGTATAAAGAAGGAAGGCGCAGTAAATACATGTGAGTGCGAGGTGCAAGAGTAAATTTAAACTGACCGGGTATATGAAATGAGATTTTAAATCGAATACTGCCCGCACCTAGTCCCAGTAGGGGACTTTCTCATCAGCGTCAGAGAAGACGAGGGCGATTAAAAATGTGCATACGCAGGTAAAACGTCCTTCGTGCAAGCAAAGTTGTTCATTAAACACATAAAAGGAGTCAACCAGAAGAATTTTCAGGATCTGGCCTTTGCGCCATACGGCGGCTCGCATATCGCCTAAATAGAATATATTTTCAGCCTCCGGCTAGGAGTCGTTGCTGTGTTTTTTGCAAAAACCTATTCCTTGCTGCTGGAGGCGTCAGAAAAGGCCCCTAATTCATTTTGACGTGCAAAGATTTTGGGTCGTCTTTTACAAACCTTAGTTGTAACTGACATCAGGAGAGAGGGAGAGAGTCATACAATTGCCCCCCTCAAAAGGCAGCGTTGAATGACAATTGGACGAACTATTCGCCAGGTTTCGTTTGCAGAGGCACCCCCAAACAAAGTAATTGCTCGGAAGAATAATCTTCTTATCGTACACCTAACCTCAGTGCCAGGTTTTGTGCAGTAACGACTTGTTATTCACGGTCGGCAGTTTTGCGCGTCAAGCAACAGCAATCTAGTCGTTCCACATCTCTTTCTCATACTTGCTGCGGTAAATTGCTGCATAAATTAGCAAGCACAGTAAAAGAGAACCTGCTCCGGGAGGAAAATGGATAGTATCATCAGCTGAGTGCAGGTAGGCTAAGTAAGCTACGGTGAGCAAGTTCAAGTTCTCAACATTCGTGGTGCTTGGAACTCAAGGTTCCCATTTATTCTCAAGCAAATAATCCCGGTGATCGGTGCTCACAGGCTATTCTGTTTTCCTTACCCCTCCCCTGCACCAGCGAAATTACCTCTACGTGCCGATCTTGCCACGCAGGCGGCGTA